GATAAGAGCGGTCCATAGATAAGAGCGGTTTGTGCTAGAAAATGAAAATTGACGTTTGTATACGTTTTTTTTGGCGTTGTGTGCTCATGATTATCGCAATAATAGCCTACAACAGAAATTAAGAAATAGAAAGAAAAAGAAGAAGAGAAAAAGAAATACAGAAATTCCGTTAAAATCGCTATTTTTCTATATGAATTGTTTATTAAGTGGGCGGGGTTTAGAGTTGAGGGGCGGAGCTTCTTCTAAACTTCTTCTCCGATTTTTATTTATCCATCCATCAAGTTAGAGGGGTGACTGCATTCAATTTCAATTTCATTCCAATTCATTTTTCACCGGTAAATTAAACCGTATCTATGGATTGTATAGGGTAATTGGTTTCCACACCTGACTAATCAATTGGTTGCAAAATTAGCCCCCACTGCCATCTACAACTGTTTGAGAGCATAGTGGATTGTGACAGAGGGTCGTGCCGGAACAGGAATTTCAAGAGAAGCGGGGGGGGGTCCTCAAAGTTCGGGAGCTTTCATATTCAAGCTGTTCGCAAACTCCAAAATACGTCCCATTACTCTTTTAAACTATTTCATTAAGCCCTCATTCGGATCCATTCGATTCGCTTATGCAAATGCTGAAGAAACGTCAAAGCAATGGCGACGACTGTCACAATGGCAGCTTTGACGGCAATGTCTCCAAGGTAGGTCTCTCCCAGAGCAGACGCATACAACTCACATTTAACAGGAATTCTCTCTTGAAAATGCTCCTGAATCTGTTTAGTCATCTAAAAGGGATGAAGACAGTGACAGTTCGTGTTCAGTAGAAGTTGAAAGCGCCTTGTCGCCACAAATCGAGGCATTGGTCGACTATGTGGGCCGATTCTCATTCGCAAAGGTAGGTTGTATATTGGTGCAACAAATGCGCGCGTACGTGCTGCGGCTGGAATGTGTTCTGTTCTGGCTTTGACAGGCGAAGCGAACTAAAAGGATTGAAGCGACGTTTTCTTGAGTGCGAGCGCCCTTTTCCGTTCTGCAGAGAGCGTTTCCAGGAAAACATGAGGACCGCGAACGCCTGCATTAAACTCTGGTTGTGGAAATTCGCGCAACAAAACGTAGTCGTTCTCGGTACAGGCTATGAGGCCTGTCAGGAAACGGAGTGCAGCGGCTGAGTTTGGCGCGACAACAATTGGTGGAACGCGGCCCGTGTTACACCAATTGTTGTCGCGCGCCCACTTCAAAAATTGGTGGAGAACGGGCTACCGTCAAGGCAAAGCCATCCATCCTGACACTCCCCATTAACGAACAAGACTGTACCGCACCACGCCTACCGCTTCTCAGGAGCTTGAAGTACAGTCGTCATTCGGGCCCTTGATTAGGGCGGCAGGGGTCGCGACGCGGCGATCAGCTGTTTCCAGCCTATTTTAGCCATTTTCTCCCTAATTTACACTGTTATGGCTGCTTTTCTCAAGATTAGTTGTTCCTTGTCTTCACAAGGTAAATTATGATTGAGATTCCTCTGTTTTTTTTGCGCACAATTAAACAGTTAGCAGACAATTGAACAAATACCTGAAAAAAAAACCGCAAAAACACTCCATTACAAAAACAGTAAAAGAGTCCACACCCAACACACTTCACAAAGGCAATAAAACAGCTTACTTCGGAAAAAAAATAGAAAATAAACTGAAAAATCAAGGGAGAAAATGGCCAAATTAGGCCGAAAACAGATGGTAGCCGTGGTCATAACGCGCTGCAGCCGCGTCGCGATCCTTGCCGCCATAATCAAGTGCCCGGATGACGACTGTATGCCTCCAGTAGTGGTTGCCGCCAGGGCACAGCGTTCGATGGGGATTCCCTATGGGGGTCGTATGAGGCCGCCAAAAGGGGGGGGTCGTATTTGGGCTGGGAAAAATTTATTTTTATAGTTGATTTTTCTCGCTTTGCGGACGTTTTGGAGGGGGGGGGTCGTACCAGCCCCTGAAAAAAAAGGGGGGGGGTCGTAAAAGCTCGACCAAAATCCCCATCGAATGCTGTGCCCTGGTTGCCGCGCTCTTTGAGCAGCATGCACAAAAATAGAATGTCTTGGTTCGTATTTTGCTTGACGTTTAAACTCTCCAGGACGAACTTCATTCACTTCTGACAGTCTGTCACAGTGTGTTCGGCTACTTCGAAGACAGGCCATCTCTGATGGCCGAGTTGTCGTTGACAACGCCCACATTGGAGCCAACGCAACCACAACTGCTTCGTGACGTGTTCTTCGTCGCTGAACATGCCGACCGAATCAATGCCTACATTCGAGCCACTCCCGACATGGCGTTACTACCGATCTCCGACGCTCAGTCTCAGACCTTGACCGAACTTGTACGACTTGTACGGAAAATATGATCGATAATTGATTTTCGCTATGCGATAACTGTAGAATATTTTTGTCCTCATGCGCCATTCATATGTATATGTACAGACATTCAATTAGTGCTAGCTTTAGGTCGTATTCAATGTTACGTCAATGATTTTTGTGCGTTGTTCACGACAGCTGTTCACATAATTTTTTTAAAGTCTAGATCAACAAGCATTTTTATCAACTAGCAGCCGATAGCAGTCACCAATTGACGCCGTCATCTCTAGGATTCCTACGACGTTTGTTCTATGCGTACAGCTTTACCATCGTCCGATTATCATCCACTTTCTTCCCCTTTAACTATCATCGCTTAGTTTCTGAGAGCTAATAGTGTGTCGCATCAGTACAGTACTTACTACTTGCCGATACGGTACGCAAGCCAGTGTTGTACTCTAACAATTACCAACCATCACATCTTCTTGCCTTTCTCTCATTCGACCACCTCTGTCGGTTAATTTCTTAATTACATGGATTAGTGTTGTTTTTTGTCAGAATAAATAATTAATCTGTAGCCCCCTTAATTTCGCCTTTCGCATGTGACTAGAGACTATTTCGAAGCAAGAAGAAGCTTTAAAGAAAAAAGTCCGCCTACCTGCGTCGTGGTCCCTTGCCATGTCGAGATAAGGGTCAGTAGCTACAGTAGAGTGCCACTTTCTCAGCTCAGAAGTGCACGGGGCCGGTATTGGGGAGGGGGGGGGTAATACCCTGGTAGACTTCTGACTCTACCCGCCATCTGCAACAAGCTTGGGCACGTCAATGCTGAGGCCCACAGTGAGCAACATGACTGGCAGAGTGCTACTGCAGCCAGCTCTAGAGGATATCTAAAAGTAAGAGAACGCAGACAAATAGCGCGCCGGACCATAGTTACACGCAATCCGGTTGCGCGGCGCATGTATGCCGATTTGGCGGTTGGTGGGTTTGGAACGACATACAGCTTTCAATACCCTCCTTTTTCAGCCCCACTGCTTCTTTTGATTAGAAGGATGAGGCGTACGCCTCCTGCTCCTGCAGGACGCCCTGATGTGCCACATGGTGGCATGATTCCCCGAGGTGAACTTACATTTTGTCCTCTAAGTGTGAACCTAAACGTGATACACTTTGAGAAGCTGCCAGTATCAACTGCCGTGAAACGCTTCCGCATGAGCTTCTTGTATGCAATTTGCGGAGGCAAAAGGGCAGAGCTGCGAAGAAATGTTCTTAAGAAATGATTCGTGGCCCTCCAGGTTTCTACTCCTGGATACGGTAATTAGACAGTAGTTCGTTTCAAGGGATAAAACACTATCCGCTTACCAATCGGCTGACCGCCGCAAGTCATTGTAATAGGTCAACTCGTTTATTATACCTACCTCTACCCCTACCTCCCTCACAAGCTGAAGTGTTCAGGCTTCCCCCAGCTCTTGTCTGTTGCACCTCAGCGGGACCTCAAAAAAGAAACATGACGTAACACAAGTTCTCAACAAGATGTTGAAGGAAGCGGGCACGACAATTTTTAATCGGTTCAAATTGGTAGGAGGGGTTCCAACCATCAGGGTACAGCATGGGGATGTGTCAAATGGCGGTGTGGGTACGACCCCCCCCCTCGAAGAGGGTCCAGATACGACCCCCCCTGCTCTAACTGACAACCAGATGCATGTTCACCACAAATGGCTTCCTGAAATGGAATCTGGATTCTCGAAAGGCGCACTCTGCTCTAAAATACAGGAAATAAAAGGCTGTTTCAGCCTCATGCAATAGGCTGAACAACAGCCTCGCATTACCTACAATTTTGTCTTAGGATTCAAAATAAAACTCCTCGTTCGATAACTATGTATGACATGCAACTTGTAAAAGAAACACAATTGAAATAGCGGCTAATGGTGATCATTGATAGGCTGAATTGGTGAAAAAATAGCCCCAAGGTGAGCGTGTCAGGGCCCAGATGTGCATTCAATGAATGGTGACGGGGAAATGAAAACATGCACGACACAACAAAGCGAAACATGGAAAATACAAAAAATGCAGAGCTAAATGAAAAAAGGATAACCATACTTGGCTATTATCGATCAGGCTGCAGGGCGCAAGGCTGCGACCGCTTTCTTTGAAAAAACGTCATTGGAGCGCGGTTGTTGGACTTGCCAACGTCCTGGGGTCTGTTCGGGGGTTATATCTTTTTTAGGTGCGGAGCTTTTGAGGAATGGTGAGCAGCATGCAACGGCAAAGTTTCTACTGTTGTGTATTCTACCTATATTCTACTTAGTTGCAAACTGTACAATCCATCGTTGGTGAAATATTCCGGATGGGTTTTGGATAGGCTAGGGGTAAATCGCGAGCTGGTTTCCATGCTTCACGCGAGGATTGCTTCGTTCAAACGCAATTTCATCAGGATTAAAGTCGTCCTGAAACCCCTCCATCTTTTCTCTTTCCAATAAGCTTTACAGTTTTTCTGAAGACCCACTAGTTCAGGAGATATTTTAGATGGGTCACAGATGCGCCACCCTCTGACCCACCCGAAAAATTGACTCCTTATGTGCCATTGTGAGGATACACCTTCGGAAACTTCAGTGTGCCTTCAAAACATATTTCCCTTCAAATGAGTGAAAGAGAAGCTCGGCTATCTCTGATCGATTTGGTCCGTGCGCCGTGCATTAGGCTCCTACGCAGAGGTGGTGGAAAGGTGTAAATTCTGATTTCAGGTGCTTTTATCCATGCAAGCAGATGTTTGTTTAGGGTTTGTAAAGGACAACACGCACGAATCTGTTTGAGACGTATTATTTAGTCATCTACGTACTTACGAGTTCATGCTATAAACTGACACTTATTTATTTATTTATTCTTGCTATATTGCTAATAAATCTTTTATTATTTTGTATTCCTATTTACATCCGGGTCTTCTGAAGCTTTCCGTCCGTTCCATTACCCTTAGCAATGACACCTTTGTACTGTTTGATGCCTAGCGAGCCTACTTTTGCGATACTCCCCACGTCCCCCGCGGCCAAGTACGAACCCATTCCTGGGGATTTCCCTGAAAAGTAGGGGCTGTTTAAACGTAGCAATTTAAGGCTTAAGAATACACTCGATAATAAACTTCATTTCCTTACACATCTGACTTCCATTAGCTTCCAACTCGCCAACTAATTCCAGTGAAATGTCGAAACCATTGCTGCGGCTCTGATGACACCTTTGAAGATAAGACCGCCCCCCCTACCCCATGCGGCCAAGTACGGACGACCCCCTGTGGGTTTCGCACAACGATGCTGTACCCTGGGTGCCATAAGGGGGCCAATGAAGGAAATGCACTTTTCTTCTGCGACTTTCAAGGCAATGTAAGGTTATTAAAGTTAATGAAAATTTGCAACTGACAGTTGCACCATCATGTTCAACAACACATTGTACAATATCATGATACTCCACCACAGCCTCTGGACGAGCGCCATCGAGAGATTCTGCCACGCGACGTGCTTCGGTGCCTGAAGTTAGCAGCGAGGTCGTTGGTTTATCCGCCACTGTAGACCACCCTGTTGAACTCCGCCCGAAGCCGCTAATCGAGTAGGTTTGAGTCAGGTGACACACTTGGATATTCCGTCTTCATCAGGCCGCTACTCAACGCCTTCCATTCCCGAGTGAGGCTAGAGTTTTCTCAAACGCGTCGCGATTCCATGTAGTGGGAACCAATCGTGTAGCAGTACGAAGTTTCCAAGATGGCGCGAGCGGCGACATGAAAGGCGACTACTGGCGACCGCGGTGAAGATGATATCCTGGACCGCAGCGACGTTGTCGGAGCCGCGATGTCTTCCAGATCATGAGCGCCGGTCCCCAGGAAGCTGTCCATGGGTGACTCTACTCAAGGATTCGCAGCTGCTTTGGAGGTGAAGGTGAATTTCTTCGGTGAAGTTTCTTAGGCTTTCTCAGCAGTGAGGCTGTAATTGAGATGACATCAATAAATTTTGGGTGTACATGAAGGTGATGGACGAGAGCCTGCTCTTGCTAATCGACGAACATCTAGGGTATCTTTCGCCTTGATACGCGTATCCACGTCTTCTCTCTGGGCTGCGCAATCTTTACTGATATGTGACTCGGCAAAATGTCTTTTTTCTATTGGCCCCTTTATATAGCCGGAAAAAATGACGAAGAAGCGAGGCGAAACTGCCGGAGCTTACGAAAAAGCCTTTGTTTTCACCCAGCATTCGAAACAGTTTTCCATTGGCATAGTGCCAATAACCGCTATTGTAGCGAGGCTGCTTGATGTACCCATAAATCCACGCAGCACCGCAGCCATTTCACTCAGTTCCTTTGATTCATATTGTTCTTCGCAAATGAAGCGATACTACCATCAGCATACAGGGGAGGGGGGGGGCAAAAAAGTCAGCTTCGACGGGTCCATATCACAAAAGTTTTCGCTGCCCAGACAGAGGACGTGGATACGAGTACCAGGCGGAAGATACCCAAGATGTTCCTCTATAAGCAGGAGCTGGCTCTCGCCCATCACCTTCATGTACACCAAAATATGAAGTCATCTCCAGTCGCAGCCTGACTGGAGAAGACCTTTGGAATTCATGTCACCTCCAAACAGCTGCGAAACTTCTAGTATGGAGTCACCCATGGATACCTGGAGACCAGTACTCTCGATCTGGATGACCTCCAACATCGAGCAGCTCCGACAACGTCGCTACGGTCTAGGACATCATCTTCACCACAGTCGCCAAGGCGCGGGTTGATGGTATGGACCGGACGTACCTGGAATGAAAAGACCAATTTTCTTCCGTGGACCCCGGACTGAAGGTGAGCGCTGGCGGTTACATTGGGCAACTCGTGAAGAATATCCTCCTCACATGTGGTCGCCCGTACCTTCTTGGAAACTTTGTACTGCTACAGCATTGAGTGCCACCACATGAAATCGAAGGGCGTTGGAACACTCGCCTACTTGGAATGGAAGGGGGCTGAGTAGTACCTAAAGAAGATGGAATATCCAATTACGCCACCTGACCTGAATCCCCTCAATTATCCGATT